ATAAGCAGATACAGATGTAATAGGCACGTATTTTTTTTTTAACTCACGAATAGAAGAGAAAAGTTCAAAACAACAGTGATTACAATAATACATTAATACCTACCTATATAGTTGTGAGGTTTTAGAATAATAATGAATTCGTTTGTTTTATGAATACGAAAGACGTTAAAACGAGAAACGTGTTTGCACGATCACACGAGTTGAAATTGAATTTGCTAACAAATACCTACACCCAGACAACCCAGTGCTAATAACTTGTAATTTYAAATCGTTTTGTGGTCAATTGCGTAAATATGCATATGCTATCGCTATATACACAATACACCCATAAAATATAATATTATTTTATTTTAGTCACGTACTGATATTAATATAGGTACCTATAGTTTTCGGCGAAAAGTATCGACCGCATGTTATAATCGTACTGTTTAAGCAAAACACGCTTCGATATAACCTACAGCACAAGCATCATAATATGTAAGTTGATATTATTATGATTTAAGCGTGACGACATAATATTATTATATTACAAAGAAATGTCAGCGCTGTGATAATAATAATATCAGATGGTTGTTTGAGAAATTACAAAGATACGTTTTCATTTTTGTTCGAGAAAAGGAGAAAACCCGCCCACAAGGGCACAAAAACGAACAAATGTGCACAAATATTCCGGATATAAAATAATATAGCGGCGGATGAGGGGAATCTCATCGGTAAAGGAGAGCGATAAAAAGTGTAAAAATATTCAACCACGCACTAACGCATACGAAACTGGTCCATGGCCAAAGAGGCTGTGTGCCATTTCACCGCGAACTTATCGGGTGCTGAATTCGCTGCCACCGTCTAACATACACACTCACACGTCACACACACACACACACACATGTATATTATACATTTATATACAACAACCGGTCGTCTCTGTTGCAGCACCGGCAATATACTCGCGGACGTGAACTCTCCGCCGCCGTCACGTAAGTTCTTTTATATATATACCTAGCTATATATTTGATATTATACACTTACCAGGTACAATATATGATACCGAGCCTTGGGGCGCTAACGGACCGTCACGACGTTCACGGGCAATTCATGATCGCCTCTGGTGGTGATGAGGGTGACACCTAGTGTAGTAGAGGGGGCACTCCCCTACAGCGTAAATAAACGTATATTATATCCGTTTGATTTGTGCAGTAGTAGGTATAGGTATACTATATTATTATACGTGAATGGCGAATACCAGGCATCACAAAATGTAGTACCTACCTAATAAGAATATATTTTACATAATAATATCTAACAGTACACATATACTATACAGTATGATATAAGTCAACATGCTCACCCCAATTTTTTCCTATTATAAAGAATTTGTTTAAATTCTGATTTCTAGAATTTTTAATTTAAATCCATATTTACAAATACTTGAGACATTGATACAAAACATCTGTTTTTTTTTCAAATGAGACTCCCTTTTTTTACTATATATAATTTAGCAAATAATGTTTCAAAAATGTTGATGTAGGCACTTAATTCAAAATTCAAAGGATTTTCTTCTTTCGTGGTCCTTATTGATATGATTTTGCAATAACATAAAGTAAATTCAATAGGTTTCAATAAGATCTAATAGGTATTTATTATACTTAACCATTTTTACAAATTATAAATGTCAATAGATCAATAATTATTTCTTAATTACCAACACTTTAAAATCATTATAGCCCTCATATTATTATCTTCTAAATACATTTGTATCGAGCTTTTAGAGAGGTATCCTTAGTAATTATAGCATACAATATCATAAAGTTAAATAAAGTAGGTATCGTTAAATTTTTTATTTTGATGCGTCAACATTTTCTGAAAKATTGTCTCATTTAATCTACAGTAGAAAAGGAAAGTTCTAATTTAAAAAGACAGAAGTTTGTATACCCATAGAACACTCTTTAACAGTAAAAAATCTAAAAAAATTGAAAACAAGGTCTTATAGAAAATATTTAAAAATCAGATTTTGACGAACTAGTATTATTTATATTGCTCATCATCTATGATTTTTACAATACTTGCATTCAATTTTGTATGTACTTCTTTAATTGCRCATAATAATATAATACACTTGAGGTATTGCGGTGCAACATATATATAGGAACTATTATAGAAATACAACTATCACGTTATTTTTTTTCGGTGGTCCGATACAGTCACACACGTTTAACCAAATGATTAAACACACCGACAGTTTTGCATTATATTTAGGTACAAACTATCAATCAAATAATAATTGTTTTAAATTTTTTTGAGCTTATACATACATTTAAATATGTTAGGTAGTATAAAATATTATTTAACAACTTATCGATAAATAATTGCATTTTTATATGTAAATTTAATGTAAATGTAATTTCAAATTTTAATGAATAATACGCAATAAATTTCAATTTGTTTTCTGAAGTGAATTTTTTAGGCTGCATTCAAATTTATCAGCTCTTTCAACATTATTTTATCTTTTAATTTAAAAACGCATATACAATCATTTATGTTGCTAATATTTGTATAATATAAAAATACTTAAAAAACCAACAGAATGAGTATCAATACCTCAATGATGTGATGTACCTATAAGATTACGAGTGTTATGAAGAATCCACAAACATTGATATTGCACTTAAGTTGAAGTTCTTATAGTGACTAGTTACTATAGTTACTACGATATAATTATACCAATTCTATTCTTCAACCCAAACAGGAAGAATGAATATGTGTTACTAATACGAAGAATATGAATATGATCATATATATTACAAAACATAATTTAAACAATAGTTGTAAAAGTCGGATATTATAAGTATACCTACTACTAAATCCTACACTAAAAATCTTGGAGACAATCGTGACATATTATAATATTGCTATTGTGTTCTTTGAAACATCCGTTTTAATTTTTTCTTGAGGTCTCCATTGTTTAAATTACATGTTAAAATCGCAAGTTCGTACATACAAAAGAATCTTATGTTACATCTTAAATATTAATTTATCCCTGATAAATGACGATAATTTTTTCACGAGTAAAAATGTGACTGATGGGGTAACAAAGCAAAAAGGAGAAAAATAGGTATTTATATGAGCCACCTGTTTAGAGGCTAGATGAGTGTACCTCGTCATTGAGTATAAGGCCCTGTAGGCTGTAATGTATGGGTTAAATTTAAATTCAGAGATAAATCATTGGATACAAAAACGATTCTGCGGAGACGGTCATATAAGCTGCACTACTACCTATAAGTGACTACGTATATTTTATGATATTCCTATTTATATTGCTATTATAGTAAATCATTTTACTATAAGCAATACAACAAGTCTATTAATTATTGACGAAAACTATGGATTTTTTCTATAATGTGTTAATCATTATAATACGATATAATAGAATTTTAACCAAGCGAGCGACTTTTTTATTGATATTTATATTATTTATAGAAAAAATATCGAAAAATATAACACAAAAAAACATACACGTCATTGTAAATACAATACTTTCATCGTTGCTCTTGAAATCTACATTTTTATCTTATAATAAGTTGAAATGAATGGTGTAATAAATAATCTGCTGTATGATTTACCAAGTCCGCTTGATTTCATTTTATGTATCCATATTTCCATATAYCTAGTTACCTATTCGAATAATTTCAAAATAGCACATTACGACTTTGAGAAGCGCCGAAGCGTTGCATGTTATTGTWGTCAGATATTAATTGCTCGTTAAAATTTTGCGAACCCGTGCCGTCAAAAGCGTCGCCGTGAGAATAATAATAAGAAAAACTGGTTTCATTATCCAAAGGATAATAATATTATTTATAAACGGCTCTTCTATAATACGACTCGGGCAGTTTGCTCTTCTCGCGAACCGGTTGTCGGTCGGAAGACACAACGTCGTCTACGTCTACATCCTCCTCGCATAGGTTAGGTACTTGCACTGCGCGGACACGGGCAYGGCCGATTGCAGTCGGACAGACGGCGGCCGTTCGCCTGCTGGTCATTTTTCCCTTAATCATCGGAGGCGATTATTATTAATGTTAATAATAATAATAATCACCGCGGTTCGTCCATACCGTGAACACATTTTATTATATTATGCATCATTATAATCTATACACATGACGATGGAGAAAAAATAACTAATAAGGATGTTATGCATTTCGCGTTCTCAGCAGCGCTACACACATACACACACACACACAATCAATTGACCAGCCGGCCGATTCTATACACAATGCGCAGATATTATAATTTATATTATACAAAATATTATATAGGTACTACGCGTTTATCAAAATTATAACACTATTACTATTATATCGCCGGTCAGTTTTCTGTGCGCGCGTTGTTCGTATATAATAGTATTTATTTTGATCCAACGACATAATCTCTTATATATTCTAATATGTAGGTAGGCACCTATACCCATATTACGCGTTTACATTCTTCATGCGGTCAAGGACTAGTCGTGTTTAAACGAGTAGATAAACGCGCACGCGTGTAATTCGGATGCGAAATCTCTGCGATGTGACCCTTTAATATTCATCCGCCAATATATAAAAATATTATGAACTTACTGGTGTTACACGCTGCARCACAGGTCTGAGCGCACTGTTGTGTTAAACGACAGTGCTTTCAGAACACGACGAGTACCAGCTTTCTTTGCCTTTACGTGGTTAGGTTGGATTTATTGTAAATCGATTATAACTTACATATATTTATGTACTTACCTACTCGCCTTTCATCTGCGTCGTGCAGGTGTTTTTGAAAGCTTTCTCGGCTTCTCACACGCGCTATTCTGATGTCAACAAGTCTTTTGTTTCTTCTTGTTTATATATCTATGTATTCWTTTATAGTAATTCTATTTCTGTCTGATACAGTCCACTCATCCGTGTCCGTTCTTCTATTTCCCCAAATCTGTATTATTTTCAAATTTATTTTCTGTCGGCATCTTTGGATTGGTCGATTTGGTGTGCAACCCACCACTATACCCATTGTGGCACTGCTATACTTGAAATTAAAATAATTTATTGCGACTATGGTACCTATACTACAAATGTAAAATCTCACAATAATTGAAACTCAAAAGAATTCTTACAAACTATTTTAATATTAAGTACTGTATAACTAATTACTAAGCTAATTTTCTTATGTATTATAGTGGGCTATATTATAGCCGGCTATAATATATATGTCTAATCGTCTGAGGAATTTGAATTTTCTAAATTGAAATGTCAATGATTAAAATTTGATAATTTATATTATTACTGTGTAGTGTAATCGCTATACCTGCTTAATACKTATTGGTTTAAGCTTTAAACTATGTAAATAATATTATAATTTATTATATCATTATGCTCACGAAGAGCCAAAAATATATATGTTTTCAATATAATAAATTATATAGGTACCTATGATTACTATTTGTCATTAAGTAAGCATCTATTATCTATACCCAGATCTATTTTTGATAATTTTATATAATTACAGAATAATAATATGTAGCAAACAAATTATTTTGAAATGAAATTTTTAATTCATATCTAGATAGCTTACATTAAAAAAAAAAATAAATGTGTATTAGGTATATTAAACTTAATTATACTAATCATTGAAAAAATAATCCGTTGAATTTTATTTAGATAATCAATAAATCTTATCAAACGTAAAAACGAGTTCCGGAAAAAGTAGTTTTGTAAATGATGAATAATATTATTTCTTGCATAGGTTTGGCYGGTTTTCAATATGAGCACATGCAGGTCATATACCTTTTCCAATAAAATTTCAAGTTCTTACTTTATTTAAATCTCTTTGGATATTGCAAAACTATTCATGAAGCTATGAATAGACAATTTGTATTTTATATGATTATTCATTTATTCGTATGGTAAATATTTTTATTCAATAGATATCTTATTAATGTAAATCTATCGATTACGAATACTTACCATATACTCTATCTCGCAATAGGTACTTTGTAATAATATAGGAAGTCAACGACTTATTGTGATTTATGTGATTCTACGCGTGAGAAAAGCTTATCRACAATAATAGTACCTATTAAACGTAGTAGATATCTGTAAGGTGTAGAGTGTAGAGTCTACTCAGTACCTACACTATAGTATAATATCAATATGAACATTCAATATTTTAGTTTTTTATGCCAATAGTAATACGTAATACCTATACAAGTATATATTAATATATCGGTTGTATATAATATTATATACTAATAATTAATATACTATATCATAAAAATATTAAAAATAATTTATAATAATAATTAATTAACAATGATTTAAAAAAAACTATTTTTAGTATTTTAAGTTATTTTAAGTTATTTCAAGTATTATCAATTATGGTAAACAAACTAATTGAAAGATTAGTTTTTGTTGCGACCTTACTCTGATTTTCTCAAACAAGTCGAAAATATTATTGATAGAATCTTGACATATTTCACTATTACTTGAATTTTAATTTATTTTTATAAGTATACACAATAGAATTTTCAAAATGCTTAGATTAATTTAAGTAATTTGTATATACAGACATTTTAAATGTTCAAATTTTTTAAWTTTTTTTCAAAGAATGCCAATAAAAAAGAAAATGTTATACAGTTTAGTAAGYTTGAAAACCTAATAGTTACAAGATTCCTCATAAGTTTTACATATTATAAATTTATAAATATCTAAAATATTTATTAATTTATTAATTGTATTTTGTATACAAAGTTAAAAATTATTTGATAATTGATTGAAATTGAAGTTATGATGTATTAAAAAGTTATACTCTTTATAAACTATTTTACAATTAAAAAATACTTAAAATTATTAATTTTAATAGCTAAGATTTGAAAATATAAAACAAAGTCTTAAAAATTACCATATACCTAAGCGGTTCTTACAGCAGACTAAACATTTAATTTACATTATATTCATATCATAATAATATGTAGATTATTATTTTTATTTTCATAGACATTTCTAGCTTAAATTTTTGATAAATTGAATATTTATACGAAAAATAATGATTTTAGTTATTTTGTTAAAATTAAAAAAATATTATTCGTAGGGAGACTTGCCATCATTAAATTTACTATATTAATTATATATGTATATACCTAATGATATTTTCAAAATATTGTTTAACCTACTGTATTAGTATTACTAGGTAATATAAAATATCTTAAGATATATAGGCTGRCAGTTGTCGTTTTCACTTCTTCAATATTTTCCCGTGTGCAATGTAACATATTATTATAATATATATCATTGAATTCAAATTTAACACATCCATTATTGTATACCACCAATAACAAGGTWAACTCAATACCTACGATACCTCTACGGCTCTACACCTAACACCTAACCTACAGCAGAGAAACTACCCCAGCGTTGACCACATAATTTTTGTTACACTATAAAACAATGTCATTCGTATTATTATATACATTAAAATATATATGAGAATTTGGTATCAATTTCTAAATAAATGAAGCCACACTAAGTACAATAGTATTTGGTTATCGGTTTTCATTATAATATTGATAACCGTATATAATATATATATTTGTAAAGACATATAGTATGAAACGTATACTTAGTTATTGAGTTAGGCATTAATGCATTTTTTTACAAATATTTATAAAATTCTTTTTAGAGAGAGTTTCAGCTGGGAATATTATTTTTCAACAAACGGTTACTAGCTTTATTTGTGTAAAATAATGGAATCTCTCTTTTATACAATAAATATATTTTGAAAAATAATTCAATTTTTCAATCTCTGTCTGAAGTGTTTARTAAAAGAAATTAAAAATTAAAAAAAATGTATTGACACCTGTAGTATGAACAATGTTTTGAACCGATGATGATTTTATTTTCTATTCTCTTAACATAATAGTGGTTTTTATTTTTAAATTAAATATGTATTTTGAATACTATTTGTATGTTAAAAGCACGTCGGCTATGTACCTTCCTGAGTGCCAACTACCTAATACGTATGTAATATGTATTATATTTTATAATCTACATTATTGTTGTACCTAAACTAATATTTTATTATGTATTGTATTACAATTGGTGCATACAGTCATTCGTAAAGTGAACGAAAATAACATTCGGGCAATTATTTACCATACCAAGGTAGTATACCGTATACCAATAACTTCGATCTTACAATATGAGGTAACATACCACATTACCTATCATTAATGGTCGTCCATGGGGTAGTTTTTCTGTGCATAATACAAATTTGACCGGTATAAACGTATATACAAAATATAGTTATAGGTATTACATATTTATTGTTGTTTTTTTTTATTATTCTCTAAAGCATTTCTAACGTATAGTGCGCGTACATATAAAGTGTTTATAGTGTATAAACGTTATTCTATATATCGCTTCTCTTATTCTCTTTCTTTACCCTCTCCCTCAAACTAATTCTCTCTCTTTCTCTCTCTCTCGGTAATCGGTCCTGAGCTGAGGAGCAAGGGCGAAGTATGTCAACACCGTGTAAACGGGGCGTGGGTCCTCGTCTCGTGTGTGTGTGTGCGCACAGGTATAAATGTATAATACGCGTATAAGAGTAGATATAGGTGGTACAAGATATTATACACCTATATAGATATAAGAAAATAATTTAATATTATACAACATCAGCTGTTTGGCCATCTTGGCCGGTACTACCACCGCTGGCGGCGGCGCAGCAGCAACGGCAAACTGGTTTTCAATCCGTCTCTGTTTTTGTTTTCCCTTCGGCGCGCCAACGAGCACTGAGCGTCGAGAGTCGATACACCGAGCAGTGCTACGTCGAGTTTGGTGTTTGAAAGTTTGTCGTCGTTGTCGTCGCGTCGTGTGGTGACGCGTGCCGGTTGTTGTTTTTTAAGGTTTTTGTTTCATCTATTCCGTTAAAAATTATACGACGTCGTTTTCCGGACATAATGTGAACCCTGTGGATCTGCTCGGCGGCAAGCAGATCAAGAAGATACTTACCGGGCCAACACTACATATTGCCGCCAAACCCATTTGGATTTGAACGACACAAGGATCTGGTAGGTACATTATGAAAAATATTTAAAGTATAATGTTTATTTAACTTAAATAGTTAAATGTCTTATCGTTTTCGTTCTTAAACCTATGCGTTATCCAAAACTTCAATCCGTCGTTTCAGCATTTGAGTCCTTTTAGTTATAATACTATATAGTTCCTTAATATAATATGTTGAACGTTGTAAAATTGTAGGAACTTATTGAAAGCAAGTGGGTTTTTAGAATTTAAAAAAAAAGACATATTAATTATTTAAATTAACACTTGATATTTTAAAAGAAAATTACATCTTAAATTTTCGAACACAATAAAATTAATCAGAATAAGAACCAACATATTTTTCATTCTAAAATACTACATTTTAAACGAAAAAATCTTGATATATGACAAATTATATGTATTGATTTGATACTGTGGGATAGGTGTGCATCTCAAAAGTAGTCGCCTTTTAAATTCTATAACTACGTTTTTATTAGTCTATTAACTATTTACTGTTATAATAGTTAAATATAATATGTAACTTTATTTGCAAATATCAAAAATATTGGAAATATTTTACGTCTTTTATAATGTTCGTAAAATGTGAAACAAATTATGTGTATTATAGTGCATATTGCTTTGGAAATKTAGAACTATAATATGGAAGTTCTTCTAAGGAGCATTTAAAAGTATATAATTTTTATTTGYTTACATTACATGTCTTATTTTTATATAGCTAACCCCAACCGTCATACACAACACACTTCATAAGTATTAAGTACATACATAATTATCGTTCTAGTATACCTATATAATTTTTTTTATTAATCCGACCGGCTATCCATAAAAACGAAACTTTCGAATAAAAAAATAGATGAGACACGAGAATCTATTCAAGTTATAAATCTATAGGTATTTGCGTGCAAAACAGTTATAATTATGCTAAATGCAAAGGATTGTACCAAAATATCATACATTTTAATACTAAAAATTATTTATTTTCGAATCGAAATATTAACATACATAATGTATATGGYAGATATAGCTACAAAATGTGTGTGTAGTAGATTATTTTATTACAATGTATTATTTTTAAGYCTGTTAATTTCAACTTGTAATTTACAAACTTTAAGTTAAAAATGAAATTGTTTTTTTATTATTACTTATATTTCTAGAATAGTTATTATTTTAGTTTTTAAATAAAAAAAATTACGATTATTAATACATTGACATTAATACATTTATTAATGTCTCTAATAGAAACAAACAGCAGGTGTCAAGGTCCGATGGGTATTATTTAACCTTTAACGTATAATATATAATGTAAAATAACAGTTGAGACTAAATACACTATAATATTACACAATATATTCACTGTGAATGCGTTTTGACGGTTAAAAAACGGACAAACTAGACGGGACACGTGTTCAAATTAACTACTTGCACGGTAAATTGTTTCCTGCAATTAATTTATTGCTATTATTTTTTTCGGGTTCTCGTCGTGTCTCCAAGGAACACGGTTTGAGAAATTATYACGTTTACACATTTAATATAATGCCATMATTGTTCCAGTCGTGCGCATGAATAGCACACATCACCCACATTTCTTTATAGTTTCCATAATATTATAGTCATACTATTATATAAATATTAATTATTATTTTATTTAACCCTTTTTCTATTGTGCATTTTCATTTGAAACATTTTTAACCTATCAAACTAAAATAGATTCCTATATTAATATACATACGTTCATTGAAATAAACTTTGAGGCTTGTCGTCTGGAATAAAAACGTAATAACATACTAAATAAGAATCAACTAAAAAAAAAGCGGACWATTATTGGTCTTAAATAAAATTCGAACTCCGCCGAACTGTGTCCGATTAGTACGTGTTAAAAAAAATGTTTTTTATAGATGGTTGTAAAAACTGATTACTTTGGCTCTTTTATGGGCTAAACATTGTTTTTTTTTCGTGCAGGTTTATGACAACGTAGCAAATACTACGAACTCGTAGTGGTATATAATATTATAAAAATAGTCAACGTGAAATGCAACTTCGCGAGTAGTTTATGTTTTCTTCTAGAACGTTAATATTGTATTATCAGTATACTAGTATACACCTTTTTTGTAGAGAGAGATTTCGCCGAGTAATATGATATTTTAAATACGGCTCTAAAATGTAAGCTAAATTGAACGTTATTTTAGTTTTGATCACACTAAATATAGGTTAACGAGTTTTCTCCTATTTAATGACTCGTGTATTAATCGTACCTATATAAAAAAAAAATCTAGATGTAAACATATTATATTAATAATATAATAATGCACCACCCCTTTGCTTTATTTATGTATATACAATTATGAACTGACTTCATTAGATTTTAATTTTACTAGGTATATCTATTGAAATTTAAAAAGTTAAAATAAGCTATTAAGCTGACATAATATTATTGCTATTACTTTTGTAATCAAAAACAAAAGTATATTTTTGGTAAAACAATCTGTACATTAAAGAGCATACTATAAAAATGTAGTAAATTTAAAAATGTTATTTATTCATTGCAATTATTGTAAATGTAACAAGTACTAGCTAGGTATAGGTATTGTCAAAATCTTTAACTTTATTATAGCGTTTATACCAACCCATGTTTTATAATTAGTAGTTATTTCCATTTAGAATGCATATACATTATGAATTCCTTGAAATCAACATTAAGGAAATAATTGTGTAGCGTTGATTATCGGTACTTTTACATTTTTTAAATTTTATTTCAGTTATTTACAACATTKAATATARTTAAGTAACCTGTAACTAGTGTAACTCTAACTTAATTAGATATTGCTAAGTAATAATACTTAGATAGTGCTTCAATCTAAGGTTCTTTATAAATTATATTTTATACAATTAATCATTTCAGTGAAAAGACAATACAAGTTATTTTAGTGTATTTTTATCAAAACTCTTATAGGTAATACATTTTTAAAGTTTATACAAACCAGATATAGGTACATAAAGGACATAGGTACGTATTAATAAAAAACTAATTCAATTTTAATTATATYAATAAATAAAAAAGAGAGTAAATTAAGTTTGTATAATATAGCTGTATAATATTATGAGACTTGATAGTATATTAAAGTCAGAGCCAAGAGAAAGGCATAAGACAGTCACGTATGACGTATACAAACAATTATGTTTAATAAGGCTTCTACAACTTACAAGAGTTGCTAAAGGTTGGAAGTACATCTCATATTTAACTTAAGCTACMTAACTACAGATTGAAAAAATATTAAAAGTTTTACTTTTGTTTTCTAAAATTAAACGAACATACTATACATTTTCGAATAGATCATCTACGTCACTTTTACTTTAACTATAAAATTAAAGACTAAAACATATAATAATAATTAATTATTTAAAATTTTTGAAAAATAATATTTTTAAATATGATATGRTGGATTGATTCTATTATTGTCTTTGAAGATTCTATTGTTATGTRATGAAGAATTTAATCATAATAAGTCTTCAACAATGGATTTCTTATTATAACTTATATGTTTACAGACCAATGAACAATAATATAGGTAGGGGACCATAAAATAAAGGTTAGGTTAGATATATGAAATAGGCAAATGTATTAAATATTTAACAATATTCTATTTTATAACAAATTCGATATTACTATATTACTATATTATATTCTTCAAATTTCAAAACAAATAAGGTTCTAAAAATAATTTGATATTATTTTTAATGTTTGAAAAATGAAGTTGATTTTTTTAAATAACTCAACATTTTAATATTAAATCAGTAGTAAATGAATTCAAAATA